TAAAACCAAGAAAATGAAATTACCACAGCTGCTTACTATAGGATAATTGCCAGTTTCCTTGCCTAGTTCCATGCCCAACCAAAAGTAATATTTCCATACCTCCAATTTAGCATTTTGTTGGAGGGAAAGGACTGGACAAATAAAATGGAAGCAAGAAGACATCTCAGCTGGAGTTTGTCCAGGGTGTTAGCCAATTCATGCCAGGTGTCCAGACCCAGATAAAACTCACGAGGCCAAAGTTTCCATCAAGAAAATTCACTGCCCTGTAGTGTGCTCCTTGCAGAGCCATGCAGAAGCCCCGTTTTCTTAGCTTCCTGCTGCCACTATGGGCTCTACCCAAACCTGTGTCCTAGGACACCCAGTGATAAACATCGTGCTCCTTCTCTGTGCTCCTCCCACACCTTATCTACCCTCAGCCTTTACTATCTTGGCCTTGGGTAACCTGCACTGCTCTGTGGCAGACCAAAAATCCCTTTCCTGGTACAGCAGAACTTGACCTCCTCTGGACAAACACGCCAGCCTCTTAGTCCAAGCTAAGTGTCAGATAAAGAGAGAGAACAGATCGAGCGGCACCCACGAGGGCCTGCCACTGTCCAACAGTGCTGCTTTGAGGTGTGCCAACCCAAGCCCCACCAGCTCTGGTCAGTAGAGGAATGGCAAAAATACAAGAGCTTTGCTCTCTGCACACAGGAGGCACGTGGGAGCACCACCCACAGGCTGCCCCTGCAGCCTGAGTCGCCAGATCCTCTCCTAGCTTGTAACAGACCCTGCCAGCTCCATGTGGGACATTGCCCTGTGTCTCAGCTGAGGAACCCCATGCTGCCCACATGGGACGTGGTCTCACAAAGCCCAGCCCTACGAACGTGTTAACTTCTTTGTACAAAGTCACATGCCCTCCACACAGGACACCTATAAAAAGTGCAGTTTGAGGTCCTGGACAAACCTGACCAGCAAATGAATCCCATTATCTAATAAAAGGATTCTCAATGCTGGCTACACAATAGAATCACCTGGGAGGATAAAAAAAGAAAAAAAAACTGAACCAGAAGCTCCATCCTAAAAAACTGCACTTACTGCTTGTCTGGAGTGGGTCTGAGTATCACTGTTTACTAAAAGCACCCAGGATGCTGGTGACATCATAACCTCTGGGCCAATGTGATATCCTGCCACTTCCAGCAAGGAGATTGCTCAATGAGTCTAGGTTTGTGATTTCCACTTGAGGTCAGGCCTCTCCCAAAGTGGCAGCTTACACGAGGCCCTTCATCAGCGAAGTCCAGCTCCGTGTGTGTTTACTCAATCAAGCTGCCGAAGCCCTGCCAGATGGAGAGGAAAAGTCAGGCGACACCCTGAGCTCTGCATGCCCGGTGGTGCCCTGTCCCACCACATACCTCCTCCAGGGGTGATGTGGCCTTTTTCACAAGCTGGAAGCCACCCCTTTCTTCCTCCCTAACCTGTCAAGCTATAGCCATGGAAAACCCTACCTGATCAACATAGCAGTTGTGCCCATCACATCTGGTCCTTGTTCCCTTCAGTGTCAATAACGAGAGGATGGAGAGGTGGGAGGAGCTCTCGCAACCCCCGTTAAATTCAGAAGTAATGACCACCCATCCCACTCAATGCTGGTTACGTCTCCTCCACTGAACTATGAGCCCTGCGAAAACTAGAGCAGTGCCTGGTATGTAGTAGGTGCTTGCGGAAATGTCTGATGGATGAATGAATGAACAAATAGGTGGAGAAGAGTTGCTGTTTTCATGACAGGAATGGAAAAGATGGTCTCACTGTTCAGGCCAATATTTAACATGGATAGAACCACAAGCGGGGGCTCAGAGGAGTGGAACTCAGGCTTCACCTGAAAACTCAACATTTGCTCTTTTTTTTTTTTTTTTTAGCTGAGCCATCCTGCCACCTGTTGGCAGCTCAGCGGCTGCTCAGCTCAGGCCGGGAATCAAACCGCTGTTGCTCAGAGCTCACACTCTTGAGCGAGCTCTTAACCAACTGAGCCACTCAGCCGGCCCTGATCTTTCTTCACTTAAGCACACCTGTGCTTTTTTTTTTCAAGGCAACCAAACTTTTTTCATGTCCTTGTCCTCTGGTTCTCCTTTTTTGCTCAGACCTCCCACATAGCAACACCCCGATTTTTCCACAGTGCTGTGTGCCTGCTTGGCCTGGACCGTCTTCCCGCTCCACAGCAGCCTGGTTGTCCCGCCCTCCATACAATAGCGGTGGGCACGGTTACCAGCTCCACAGCGGAATTCAAGAGAGATTAGTTAAATGTACAGTAAGCCCTTCCCTGCTCGTTTTCTGACTTCTACAGTGTTTTGAATGTACTGAACGCCAAGACTGCTTATCCACAAGTCCTTTGGAGCGGTGGTATGTTTATCTTAGAATTCCAGCCTACATGCTAATTGTGTTGCCGCCTGTGGGAGAAGGAAGCCAAGCTCTTTGGGTAATCATACGGTACCAGGGACTGCTGCCTGCACTTGACTCGGGCAGATGAATGTGGTGCCTCTGTTTTTCACGGCTGGGGTTCAAAGAGGCATAAGCGAGAAGCACAGGATACGACTAGCTCATGTCGGCACTCTAGGTCATCTGATACCTTTTGAAACATAGGTGCCCTATTTTTCTTCAACATTAATTACTCCTAAAGACACCCTCTGTGGCTCTAAAAGAGTATAGGATCTGAAATGTGAGCAGCCTTTCAAATCTCTCTAAAGGCACTGCAGGGAATGATGGAGAAGATAAGTGGGGTCCCGCAGTACTGAGATCCATTTATGTGGGTTGTTTGGAAGATTGTGAGATCCCAGTGCCAACATCTATCTCGCCTATATGCTGAAATTTTTATTTTTTTGGCTTAAGACAATACCTTTCAAAATATTGTCCACAGGCTACCTGCTTTAGAATCATCTAGTGGCATTTATGGAAAACCAGCAAACAAAAATATACCACATTCCTGAGCCCCAGAACAATAAAGCAGGATCTCTGGGGCTCAGGCCTTGAACAGATCCTGACTAAACCACTCAGCTAATCCTTGTGAGCCATAAAGTCTAGACTGCTGGCTTGAGACTTCCTCAACTATCAGGCTTCAAATAAGTACTCTCAACATGCAATAGCATGTGAGCAGATATTAGTCATTTTTATTGAAGGATCTGAGGTCAGGGTATGATGAAGTTATCAAAAGAACATGAGGACACAGTACCCACGGGGAGGAAAAGGATGCCACCAACGGGAGGGAATAGAGACAGAATGGCCAGGGAGCCAAGAGAAATCTTCCACGTTTCATCCTTTGGCCCCAGGTTATATATCATTTATCACAGTGCAGTTCAGCCCCTGTCCTGTGCCCATCAGTAGGGATAAAAAGAAACAGAACCCGTTCACAGTCCTAGGGGAGTTGACCATTTGGTAGAGGAAGCAGACCCTTAAATGGGCAATTTAAATAAGTGTGGTAAGCCAAAGATAGGGATTTGCACAGAAATTTGGGGGGTTGTGAAGAGGGTTTCCTAACTGAAACTTAGCTCCCAGAGAAGGAAGTACCTGAGTAGGGAAATAAGTAGAAATTAGGCAGATGGGGTTGAGGGTGGGCGGCTTTTGAGGAGGAACTCAAGGGGGCCTAGGAGCTCGTGGGAAATGGAGTGTGTTCCCAACAGAGGGTGACCTACCAAAGGCCCTGAATCCTAAAGAATCCATCTATCAGGGGACTTAGCAGCAGTTCAGGACCTCTTTGTCATAAAACATAAGGAATGGAGAAGGATAATCAGCGAGCCTGGATGGGTGGACGTGGGTCAGGTCAGGGAGATATGTGTATGTCTGGATAACTTTTCACAGTCCTTTTCGCTAGACACCTAGAAGACTTCTTGGATTTGTCCTTCAAATTCCTGTCGCGTCCTGCATGACAAAGGCAGTGAGAGAATGAGAGGGGGCGGCAAAGGGTTAAAAAAGAAAAGAAACAGAGCCAAGAATTAAATGAGAGCAGGACCAAAGGTCTCCAGCCTCACAGGACTGAGCTTTTATTTCCCCACCTACCCAGAAGTAGCATTGTTCTCTCAACAGTCTGTGAGTCTCATTCCTGAAAACTTGCTCCAGCCAGATTACCCATGCCTGCAAGCTGCTATTACTGAAAGTCCGCCCACATGACCAGACAAATGCTCTGCCTTCACACACTCATACACATATGACCCCAGGGAGATAAGATCATTATGCTGAGGACAGATAGTATCACATCATCAGGTCACTTCCCAAGCAGGTTGCGGGAAGGAATGTAGCTACAGAAGTAGAAGACCTCCAGTCTCCTTGGGGGCGAGTGAGGACCTATGCCCACCTCCATCAGCCCCGAGATTTCTCCTGATGGCCCCCATGTGACTGTGCCTGTCTTAGGTTGTTCCTTCCTTGAGGAATCTTACCCATCATTGGCTAACCAGCCATCTTTTGGGGCCAAACAGGGAGATGCAAGGTGTATGAGCAGTGTCCTCAAAAGGGTCAGTTTAGGGTTAATTGTGGGGGGACAGACCAGTGGACGACTGTGTCACAACAAATTTCTTCCAAGCTATGGCCTAAAACTGTTCATTTTGACTGCTCCAGAAACATATTGCAACCAGTTTATAGGCCCTCTCTGGGACACTGTACATGGCATTGCAATAACTAATAAGTTGAAAATAATATAAAAAAATTGTTCAATATAGATTTGAGAATGTTTTGTCTATCATTGGAAGGATACATGAAAAATAGGAATATTAATGACCTCTCGAGAGGGAGACTAAGAGAGGTAGGAGTAATTTACTTCTAATTGTATGCCCTTTCATACTGTGTGAGTTGTTTACCATGTATATGTGCTATCTATTCAAACAAGTTTAAAAGAGAACCAAAGAGACACATTTATTTCATAGCATAAAGAGTTGTCAACATACAAGTGATTTAATTTCTATTGAAAACCAAATTAGTGATTCACTGATAAAACCGTGACAGCAATACTATCATTGAAGTAGTCATGTTTTTCATAGCTTGAGAAAAAATGGGATTGGAGAAATACAAATTTTGTATATCCTCTATAAATTTGGCCTTTTTTTTTTTTCAGTTTGCAGCTCATCTTGTGAAGATGAAATACCCAAGAATCTGTATTCTAGATGGTGGCATTAATAAGATCAAGCCAACAGGCCTCCTCACCGTCCCATCTCCTCAAATATGAAGAATGAAGAGTATGGCTTCCAGAGAGACACAGTGGCATCAACTCCCCATGTCACAGCCCCCCTCGGCACAGCTCTCCACAGCTTCTACTCTAAGACAGAACCAGACTTTCAGACTATGGCATTTCCATGAAGCTTTATCATGAGACATTTTTTTAAGTCTCATGACCCAAATGTTGAGCTGTTCAAGCAACAAACTTGACTGTACATGTAGTGCTGAAAGAATTTTCTTAGCAGTGAAATCCGATCATGTGTTTTTAGCGCGCTGCAACACAAAGCAGAGGAATTCAACTGACAAGGCAAATTGAGCATTATCAAGAAATCTCACTTGCACTGAGAAAGCTGTCTTCCATTGCACTGCACAGAAAGTACCAACAAAGGTATTATTTAGAAATATAGATTGAATGTGGGCTAAAATCATCTTTCCATGATAATGAAAGGTGAAAAGCTACTCACAATGCATCCCTTACAGGAAAAAGCTACATTTGGTAACTCATTTTTGACCCAGACAAGGGTGTGTGTGTGTGTGTGTGTGTATAGAAGAATTTAGCCCATTGAAAAAAGTGATAATAGTCTACTTCCAGAAAATTGCAAGTGTGAAATCATTCATATTATTATAGAATAATTGTTTAGCTCCTGTAGCAGAGAAACCCAAAATAAGAGTGACTTAAACAAACCAGAACTTTCTCTCTCACTTAAAAGTCTGCATAGTCAGCCTAGGACTAGTATATTGGTTTCATAATCATTAGGAACTCGGGTATCTTTTCTCATTGCTTTACCACCCTCAACACATGGTTTCTGTCACATGGATCAAGATGGCTGCACAGCTCCTACCATCACCTGCAATTTAGAAGGAAGGAAATGAAGGAGGAAGGGTGGGGAAGAAAGGAAAGAAAGAAATAGGGAGGAAGGAAAGAAGGAAGGACATGCTTCTCTTTACGAGCCCAAACCAGAAGGTGCACATATTACTTCTGCTTACATACCATTGGCCAGAACTTAAACAGATGGCCACACCTAGCTCTAAGGAAAATTAGGAATACAGTCTTTCTGAAAAACTTTATTACTGTGTGGGAAGAGGAGAACACATATTGAAAGACAGCTAGCAGCCTCTGCCACATTATTCTAAAAAACTGTACTTCATTGAATCTAAGACATAACACAGTTTTATGTACTGAAGGAAGAAAAAGTGCAGCCAAATAAACTGTGACACATCAGTTATAAGATGTACTCCCATTTCAGAAATGTGAAAAAAATATGAATCCTAGAATTATTGAAAAAGAGTGCATCTTTTACTCTTCACTTTTAACTAAAATATCTTCTTTCATCTTTAACTTACATTCCTCTTCAATGTTAGGGCTACCTAGGTAGAACATCTCAATAAGAGCCTCAATTCAACTTTCTGGGCTCTGTTTTTGTTGTTGTTATTTGTTTGGGAGTTTTGCGTCTATTTTTTTTTATTGCGATATAATTTACATACCATAAAATTAACCTTTTAAAATATACAATTCAGTGGTTTTTAGTATAGTCATAAGATTGTGCAATCATCACTCTATCTAATTCCAGAATATTTTTCCTGACCCAAAAAAGAAATCCTTTATCTATAAGCAGTCATTCCTCATTAACCCCTGCCAAGGTCTTTGATTAAAATTGCGTATGTGGAGTGAGATAGGTAGCCAGCTTATTTCTTTCATGTGGATATCAAGCTGTCCCAGTGGCAGCATTGTTTTGTTTTGCTCAATAAAATTATAGTTATTCACCAAATATGTTTTGAATACCTACTATGTGCAAGACACTGACATAATCAGTAGTTGTATCATTCTGTGAACCCTATGCAATGCAGAAAGAAAAAAATTAAGAGAATTAATGAGAAAACAAAATTTTACATGAGAAAACAAAATTTTACCACAGTTTCTCTAACATCTTTTTTGGGTCATCGTCTTCCCTGTTTAGGGAGGTATTATTAAATCCTCCTGTTCTTTCCTTTAATCCTTGATAACTTACCTACTTCATAGTCATAGCACTGATGATCATTTGGAAATAGTGATTCTGAGTTTTAACTTTGACTTTCAAAGAAAGCAGACAAGGAGGGAGGGGTGAGGATCTGGATTGAATGGGGTGGTTATTTAGGTAGTGGAAGAGGATGAAGGCCTGAGTGTTGTGAGACGATAATAATAACCAGCCTCCATCACAGCTTTGCATTTGATCTTTCTTAAAACTTGATACATTTAGGCTTTTGGAAAAAGTGGAAGCTTTTTAAACATTCAAATTATGGATAATACTTAATATTCTCAACAGTAAAATAAGAAAGAACATACAATCAGTGCTATGTTTACAGGCAGGGCATGTTATTCGATGGCAGATGGTTTTAACAAAATTGACATCAACAACTATTTGTTGAATTTAAATCTATATAACCCATGATGTATAGAGGTCCTTTTATTATATTATTGATTCCTACATTATCACCATCAGCACTGTTTGTTTCTGGCACAAGCAGTCTCTTCCTTATGCCTGGAATGACATTACTACCACTACCAGCCCTACACACACACACACACACACACACACACACAAATCCTTCATAATCCAACACCAGTAGCACCTCCCCCAGCCCCTGACTTCCCTGTGCTGCATTAGAGCCTCAAGTCTATCAAAGCATTCCATTCATACTTGTAATAATAGACTTATTACATCATTTTGCAATTTTCTGTTCACATTTGGGCCCCATATTAAAATATGAGCTCCTTTAAAGTCAGAGACCATAATTTATAACTTATCTTCAGCAACCCACTGCACTGAATATGCTTGATAAATGTCAAATTGAGTCTCTAGCTTAGAGATTTTAGAATCTATATGAATAGAAAAAATTTAAAACAACCCAGGTAACTATGTTTCAAGTGCCAAACTTATCTGGCACCTGATGATATATAAATAAATTGAAATCTCAATTCCCTGAGGGAGAAAGGATCTCTAAATTTCTATAACCCTAGTAGTTGGAACAGATAACTTTCAGCAACAGGGTAAACTAAGTTAGTTGCATCCCTTTTCCAAAACACAGAAATGCTAGAGTAAAAAGAATATTACAAATGTCTAATACTTTACCAAAGCTGAAAGAAATAAACAGAAATTCCCTGATGTCAGATAGGAAGATGAACTGAAACACACTGTCAGGCCCATGGGATATTAGATATCAACACAGGCCTTAGGAGCTGAGGTTTTAACAACACGTAGATATGGAAGACACAGCTTTGGGCCTTCTGGTAGGTAGATGGTATTAAGATGACAAAGTGACAGCTGTGAAGAACAATGCTCCATGAAATGACTAGGAATAACTTCCCACAAAATCAGGAAAGCTACAGGGGAGATTGTCATGGGCTGGTGTTCTGAGTGAAGGAAGACAGATCTATCGTAGATGGATGGAGGCATTCAACGGGAAGGCTGGGTAAGTTCCCAAATTAGAACAGGCTTTAGGGCATGTGTTCATCTGACTTTTTTAAAATGAGAACAATGAATTATATCAAGCTTTTGGAAAGCATTGGTGGTGCCTGATCTTGGTTGGACTCCTCTGTTCCCTCCTCCAAATAGTTACAAAAAAAAATTGTTCTTTAGGGCCGGCCGTGTGGCGCATTGGTTAAGAGTTGGGTTGGGAGTGCCAGCTCTGAGCAGCAGGGCCGTGGTTCAGATCCCACATGAGGGCCAGTGACGCTGCGCCCTCTACAGCTAAGAAGGTGAACAACAGCTCAACCTGGAGCTAGGCTGCCAGGAGTCGGAGTCGCCGGCAATGGTGTAGGCTGCAGCAGGGTTGCAGTGGGCTGCCATGAGCTACCATGAGTGGCTGGCAGCCAGCGTGAGCTTCCGTGAGCCAGCATGAGTGGCTGGCAGCTGGCATGAGCTGCTGTAAGCCAGAGTGAGCAGCCATCCAGTGGCCAGAGACCGATTGCCTCACCCGGGAAGAGCGCAATGATAAAACCAACATGAGCCAGTGAAGCAACGTCCTCCACAACTACACTGAAGAACAAAACGACAGCAGCTTGTCTGTTCCCCTTCCCTGATCCCCCAATGCTGTTCCCCTCCCCCAATTCCCCAATAAAATATTTTTTAAAAAATACTTCTTTAGAGATTAATATCAGTTGTATGGTACAGCCTCTCCAAAGGATCGTATGCGGTGGTCTCACCAGGGAAGTCCACTATAAGGGGAGAAGACTGCTTGCTGCCTTGACAGCTATAGGGTTGGTGGGTGTTTCACTCTAGTGGAATCATAAATAGTCATCTCATTGGGGCACATGCTGTCTCTACATATGCTTATCATTAACAAAATAATTCATTTTTCTGGGTAAACATTCATTAAGCCGAATAGGAAGCGAAACGATAATATTTATGATAAATATTTGTTTGGGTGTTTAGCATAAGACCAAATACCCTTCACAACTACAAACTTAGATTTTATGTGTAAAAATAATGGAAATGTTGCAAACCTTAACTGTCTGACAGTAGAAATTTAGCATATGGAATTACTCTCACACAAACTTTAAGTTTTGTCATCCAGTTTTATTTACTATTAGAAATAGTGCACGTTGTAAGTAAGCTATTTAAAACTTTAGCCATATTTTTAAAAAGTTGTATGTATTTATATCTTATCTGAGTAATTTTTTTGTTCATGTCTTATGAAAAGTGCTTGTCACATGAAGTGTAAATTTGGATGTTAGCTAATTCAGGGTTCTATGGATTGTGGTGTTTGTAACTTGTACTGTGACTTTTAGGCCTAATGTCTCCTCTTGGCTTGATACTTTTTAATATCCTTTCTAATCCCTTTCAGAAGACCTATTTCTAGTGTACATTGTCTGCAGCATTTCAGTAATACTGCTCTGTTCTGATGCTCATGATGACCAATAAACAGTGTGTGGATGGATACCAAGGCACTGTCTCGCCAACATTCCTGGATATTATATGTTAATCCTCTGGGTGGTGGAGGTTAAACCACTGTCCTGTCGTGGTTTAAGACTAAATTTAGAGCTATAACAAATGCAAGTAAAGCATTAGATAAGATTCTAAATATTGCTCCCTGCTGCACTAAAAGACTCAACTTCTGTCTGTATATATATATATATATATATATATATATATATATATATATATATATATATGACTTTTTATAAAAACAGTACATGGCTTATTATTCTTAAAAGCTGTCATAGCGGGATTCCTAGTTAAAGCATTAAAACCTAAGGCAACCCATGTGTTAATTTTATCATTAACCCTGGAAACGTATTTTTGTTTCCTGTTATTATTAATTTTTCTTAACTATATTAGCATACATTACAGTCCTTCAAGGTAGAGTAATTTAGTATTTTAAGGCATATCGTGTGCTAGAACTGGCTCCTAGCGGCTTGGGAGAGCTGAAGGCACCCATTTCTTTCCAACTCTATGTTCAGTGACCTCACACTCGTAGGTTAAAATTGAACACAGCAGGAGCACTTACACCATAAAAATAGACAGACATCACAAATCACATCTTTCTTTCTCTTTGTTTGTTAGTTTTTAAAGCCAGTCAATACTATTGACCAGAACACCACTAATTTTAACCACCCTGTGGTCATTATCTATAGATTATAAATCATGAAGGTAAAAGGAATTTTAAAGTTCATCTAATCCAAACTTCATTGTTCCCAACAGTAACAGTAAAATGATTTTGCAAATATCATGTAGCTAGTAAAAGATCCAAAATTATAATTCTGCTTTCCTGATGCCTAATCCACTTCTCTGCGTACCACATACAGATGGACAGGGTAGACGACACCAGTTTAAACCTATTGCACATTTATTACAGGTCAACTTGGTCAGTCCCTGTGTTCTCTGATGTGTAGGATATGAAAGCAAAGCACTAAAAATGTTGATTAAGGTCACTGTTAACTCTATGATGTAGAGGTGCCACTTAATATCAGTTCCTAGCAGATGGCACTCTTATCACCCTACAATTTCACCCATAAAGTAAAGATTTCCAAAAACCAATGTGGTTAATATCCAGTCTAAGAGGAGAACCACTATTTTCAGGATCTCTTGCTATGGATTGATTTAACCTCTTCACCTCCAAGATAACATTATCCAGCAAACACGCCTGATAGAGAACCATGTTGTCTCAGTCTACAAGTCAAATCCTTGACATGCAGGGTCAAAGTTGGACCTAACCTTTGCCTTCTCTTCCCTAGTCGGGGAATGGGCTCGAAGGATTGGAAAAGTCCTCATATCAGCCTTGCAGTCAGCCTGTGGAAAGCTGGAAAGGGGGACTAACAGGAGGTTGGAGGGGATGGCTAGTTTCTAGGGCTATTAATCATAAAAGAGAAGAAATAGAGGTCATTTAGGTCATTTGCTAACTTAAAAAATTATTTTTATGCTTTGAGATAAACTATCCTGATAATATTGCTTGTCAGATAGCATAAATTTTTCAAATTATCTTTAAGATCATTAATAATCCCATGTACC